CTACACCTTTTCAATTTCCCGTGAAGACGACGCGAATGGAAACCATTCTTGTGTCCTCGTCTTCCATAAATTATATTCTATAGTCAATACATAACCTGTCTACGATTTTCATTCATTGGTTCTGCCTTTGTGGGCTTTCAAGAAGTGACAGTCATGGGTCGGAACGGCTGACTTTTCCTCACCCTATTATGATCAAATTACCTTCATAGAATTCTCTCTAAATCTTTATATAGCTGCATGAGCGTTGCCTATCCCCTTTTTGCTACCTTCTCTTCACGTCGGTAGTTTTATCTGGAACGTCCCAGGTAGTCTAGTCCGGCGATTTCTAAATTGCAAATTTTTCGTACCATTTATTGATAGACTGCGTCCCGATTGATCCGTAATCCTATCCTCTTTCCGACGTCGGCTCGTTCGACATGTATCGCGCTTTATTGATGTTCGAAAAAAGGACAGTGCCAAAGATATTCGTCCATACCTGTCTATGTATGCCATCTTTCGTTTTAGTCAAGTGATTGCATACTGCAGTCCTTCCGTAAGCAGCTTCGGCACTCTTGTATGGTCTTGGTGGTCTCCTTTCCCAATAAAAGTGGTGAGCGGTCGTATGAAAAGCTGTATGTGGGGCATGCGATATCCGTCTGCTATTGTTCGATAGGATGCATACGCTTTGGTACTGAAACGACGAAAACGATTTGCAGGCCGTCGGAGGTCTTTATATGGATGACCCTCGAAAGAGCTTGGAGGTGATATATGTGGCTGACCAGGCTCTGCAGCAGGTCTCTGAATTTGTTTTTGGGGAGAAAAGAGAAGGGAACATCGTACAGAGTCTGTGGAACTGGGGTACGCAGTTTTTTCCTAGTACTCAAAATAACAATTTCCGACAATTACACATGACTGATATGTCAACAAGCCTGCCCCAAGGTTTGAGTGCGCATGTGCGCAGGAATCAATCAAATTCAATAATTCACTCAAACAGTTTTTTCTAAGCGGATAGCCGACGAACAGCCTCCAAATCCAGCACGAAGATGCGTAACAAGGAGTTTAAGGAATGTATGTAAAATCTCCGGAGAACCTATGAGGATAAAAAAATTCGCTGTATTGATTGAGCTCTCCGGCGAAGATTTGTGGAAGAGCTCATGTATACGGTTAGCAAAGACATTTTTGTGTCCCATAAATCTGCGTTACTTATATCAAGCACGTTTTAGGCACTCGTTATCCAACTTACAGCATGATATCCATAACAATGCATTTCTCCTCTCCTTGCTGAGCCTTTGGTCGTCCTACCTTGAAGAAGAGTGCGCCAAGCAAACACGTTGCTTACTTGTCCAATTTCGTTTCCACATGTACACGGCGACTTCGTAATTCTTAAGTTTTACGAGAGGCATTTTTGTATGGCTCAGCCGTAGACCTCATGCCAAGGCCTGGACTTACTCTTCCCATATCCGGTTTGCTCTGCGTGTTGCACTTTAGTTTATTCTCCAGAGTGACAGCGATTTCAACGGAGTGATCTTTAAACAGTTTGAAAGACATTTTTAATACGATTATCTGTCGACAGCTATGCCGACCCTATCTTATATTTTTTGAGAAAAGAACGAGATGCGAGGTCCCCATTCGCTCAAAATCCGTTTTCTTGTTAATATCGTTCGTACGCTGTCAGCGAAACACAACTTTGCCTTTTTCAACTCATAACAAACAGATCCTGACGTTGTCGGGATCACGACCGTGCGAAGCTTCAAACAGCAGTGGTAAATCGAACATCCGCAAGAAGGATTTTTGATTGCTACTTATCTGAAATGGCGAGATCTGATACGGATGATGTTGATGGCCTAAGGCGATCTCCGTTTCATTTTGTAAATACGCCTATGTGCAGTAGTTCAAAACGATGTTATAATCGTAAATCACGTGACACTTCTATTTCATTAGAATGCTGTATACAAAATCTTGCGCAGACGTGCAACATGAGAATTCCGACAGATTTTTTCTTTTCTGCAGTAACATCATATCTGGAGAAAGCGTTTTCAAAAAGAACATGCGCCTTTCCTCCTCTCTCATACAATGCCTTCTTCCCATTTCACGAATCGAGCAAAAGGATTAGTCCTGTGCAAAACAATGATTTGTTGTGTTGATCGGATAAAGTAAACGATCTTTACAAAGTGTCGCATTGTTTTTTCGACTCTCACTACAAAGTTCACTCCAAATTTCCATGCATACACTTTTTGTAATTTCGCCCATCTTATTAATGCTGAAGCCACCGTCGCAATTTGAACGCAAGATAGAATTGACGTAGTCACAATATGGAATGAGTACTGTTATAAATTACGTCTTAATATTTCCCGTAAAATAATCCAACCCGTGCTCCGCGTGGATAACAGTCAATTATGGCACTATTCTGGCGCGGCGGTACAAAACGTAGACTGCAGCAGTGAAGACAGTACCTTATAAGCGACAACGAAGTGAATAAAGGAAGAGGGCACGGAACGCAACCATCGATGTTTGTCTTGAAATCCTCTTTTCTAATTGACAACAATTCCGTTCTTCACTTTAGAAACTACTGCTTTGTTTCCTGCAGGGCGATCACATTATATTTGATGTGATCAGCCAAACAAGGCACGAAGATCGTACTTTGAGGCAGCTGGGGCGGTAGTAAACTCCCTGTATGTTACGACATCAAAGTCGCAACATGTGAAGAGCGTGGCTCGCGCCAGATCCAGCTACCTTGCCCTGTCCTGTATCTTTCAACATGCGGGCCTAACGCCG